GACTTAGACCAACGCTACGGAAAGAGTGAGGTGGTTGGGGGGGGGGGGGGGGGGCTCGGAGTCTATGGTGGGTATGAACTATGGCAGGCTTGCCTAAGTTTAGCACAAGTGTGCCTTATAACGGGACTGATTTTGTAGGAATCTGGAGACAAGTAACTTGGTTTCTGCGGCGGCGGGGGGGGGGGTGGGGGTGGGGTGTCTTCACGAAAAAATTAAATTGTATGTAATCTGATGCACAAACAAAAATTGAGATTTTGATTTTTTGTCTTTTTTTTTATGTCATTTTGTTTATACAATATTAATTTAATTTTTCCAAGTTACAAATTCTGAAAGTATAAGTGCACTGTATTAATGTAATTTTTGTGTGCACCAATGAGACACCAGGGCACAACTAGTTGTAAGTTGTATCAAAGCAAATCTTAGAGGGTGCACTGTTTAACACTTTTGTCATGCAATAATTTGTATCCATTCTGACTTCTTATTCATTATTTAATATATAGATTTCAAATTGACAAGGTTCTAATAGTAAATGTTCAGGAATTTTTTAAATACAATGATTCCCATTTTGGTGATAATGGTGATACAGAATATAAATTCAATGTATCCCCAGGCATCATACTGTTTAGGCATGGATGCCCTAGCAACCTGAATGAATAATTTTCAAATAATTTGTTATGTGTATCTTTTAGAAACTGGCTGAGAGATTGTTTGGAATTCATAAAATTCATGGTAACTATGGTAGAGTATTCAGTGAGTGGAGTGGTATTGAGAAGAAAATGGGAGATGGATTGCAGAGTGCCGGCCACTATATGGATGTGTAAGTACCAATACAAATCACAGATCATACACCCTAGTGTTTTTGGAGCCCAAGGTCACACATCCTAGCGTTTTTGAACCCCAAGGGCATACATCCTGGTGTTTTTGAGCTCCAAGGTCATACAACCTGGCGTTTTTGAACTTCAACATACATCCTGGTGTTTTTAACTCCAAGGTCATACATCCTGTTGTTTTTGAACTCTAAGGTCATACATCTTAGTGTTTTTGAACTCTAAGGTCATACATGGTGTTTTTGAACTCTAAGGTCATACATCCTGTTGTTTTTGACTCCCATGTGCGAAGCACAAAATGTGAGTCTTTGCAGTTAGTGTGTCTGTATGTGTGTGTGTGTGTATGTGTGTTCGACTGTTCCACTGTTCCACTGCTACCTCAAGAACCATACATCGGTTTTTGATGAAACTTGGTGCATAGATGCTCTGGGCCAATGCGCAGATTTGATTAGGTTTTGGTAAAAATCCATGCTCGTTAATTACCTAATTTGCATGATAATTAGCTAATTTTTAGCTGTTCTATGACTGTTCCACTGATATCTAAAGAACCACTCATTGGATTTTGATGAAACTTGGTACATAGATGCTCTGAACATATGCGCAGATTTGATTAGTTTTTGGTAAAAATCCGTGCATATTAATTACCTAATTTGCATGATAATTAGCTATTTTTTAGTGGTTCCATGACTGTTCCACTGATATCTAAACAACCACTCATTGGATTTTGATGAAACTTGGTACATAGATGCTCTGAACTAATGCTAGGTTTTGATTAGTTTTTGGTAATAATCCGTGGATACTAATTACCTAATTTGCATAATGATTAGTCAATTTTCGGTTTTTCCACTGATATCTCAAGTACTAATCATCACATTTCAATGAAACTTGGTACATAAATGTCATATGACACTGCA